TATTCAAAGATAAGTCTTCGTCCTACTACTTACCCAGCTAAGGTCCTGACTTGGGGAAAGAGTTTGGTTGGATTCTCTCTCTCTCTTTCACTCTCACTCCAGCTCCCCTCCCCACCGCCACCCCCCACATCTCCTCCCCCTCTTATTTGCATCTGTTTCCTTTGCTTCTCACCAAAGCCAAAGTCGGAGGTAAGAGTGAAGGCAGGGAGAATGGGTAAGGAAACAGAGAGTTCTTATTTGTCTGGGCAGCTTTCTGCTCTCTGAGCTTGGCAGGTGGCTAAAGCCAACTCTTTCTCCCACAGGCATTTTTCTGGTCTGTTGGGAAATGTTTATCCCTGGTGACTGCTCTCCTGCATTCCTATACTCAAGGCCTGCACCTCTTCCCTCAGCTCCTAGGAATCCAGATTTGCATCCAGCCTTTGGGTGCCTTTGTCTATCCCTCCTGGTGGCCTTATTTTACAGGAATGAAGACAACCCCATGCCAGCTCTCTATGTTTCATGGACCACAGAAATCCATACTCACATATGGCTTTGCCCTGAGATATTCTGTATTTGGTGCTAATCCACAAACAGGCTCTTCTATCCCACAGCTGCAGCTCACTTTAGCTTTCTCACACGTGAGTCAGGCCCAGTTCCCTTTGTCTTCCAACTGCAGGGAACACATTTCAGACCTCCTTGGGTGACTCTATGGGCATCTCCCTCATTAGGCTTAATGAAGAGGCGGTAAACTGCCCATATCTCCCCACTAGGAGGAAGAATTGTGATGGAGACTCACATCATGACAAAGAAATGTCTTCACGGATCCTCTCTCCTCTCCATACCTTGACCTCTTTTTATCTCCTTGATGTGATTTCAAAGTCTGAAAGTCAAGGAACAGATCTCTAACCATTTCCTTTGTAAATTCTGCATAAGATAATCTGGCTTCAGAATTTCACTTCCATTGTATCATGAAATATCGCTTTTGACATCCTGTCACAAGTGCAACTGCTTAATTGTAAAAAATAAAAATAAAATCCTGCCTTCCTGCCTTATTCTGCCTGGACACACCCACCTAAACAGTCATTGTGGGCCCCACGTTTTAAACCAAATATAGAGCTCCTAGAGATGTGCTCAGAAAAACTAGGGTGGAGAAGAAACTCAAAATTAGGAACGGTTGAAAACACTGAAAAAACAGTTTAAAAAAAGAAGAGTCTAGGGGCCTGCCTGTGGCCAAATGGTTACGTTCTCACACTCCGCTTTGGGGGCTCAGGGTTCCAAGCCATGCTGTGTCAGCATGCCACATAAAAGAACTAGCATGACCTACAACTAGCATATACAACTATCTACTGAGGCTTTGGGGAGGGGAAAAAAAAAAGAGGAGGAAGATTGGCAACAGATGTTAGCTCAGGGCCAATCTTCTTCAAAAACAAAAAAGAGTCTATCTTTAAGAAAACCTAAGTGTAACCTAAGCAGTCTCTTTAAATGTCTGAGGGGCCAACAAAAGGACCAAGAATTAGATTTATTCTACTTAACCTTAGGAAGTACAGTGAGTAGAAGTTACAACAAAATCATTTTGCTCATTTATGTAAGCAAGAACTTTCTAATTGCCAGCGCTGTCCAAAAATAAGAGTGGGCTGTCCTTGGGAGGTAATGAGGGCCGTGTCCGCACAAAAAGTCAAGCCTGGTTGCATGGCCACATGACAGAAGAACTTTAGAAAGGTCTCAAAAAGTGGTTTTTCGGTTGAACTAAACAGTCTTTAAATTCCCTTCAGATTTTCGAGGACCTCCAACTCATCTCTAAAGATGTCCACCTTTAGTCTCTGGTTCCCTATAGGGTCATATGTAACTTTTTTCCTAGACATTTTGGAATTTGCTTTCCTAGATTTGCTTTCTGAGTACATTTTATGTTTTATTAATTCTAAGACATAAATTTTTTAAAACTATCTTTTAACATCTCTGAAATCCTGATGCATCTTATAACAGCTGCCTTGTCATAGTTTTCATTGCTTACATAAGCATGAACATTAAAGTGCCAGCATCAAAATTTGCAGAATGAGTGTGAGCAGCTTGGAAGAAATTTCTAGAGACAATAGTGAAACTGTAGGTTGCGGGGAGAGGTGGAATGGGTGGACGTGTTTAGCAACATTCTTGAAGGAGAAATCAAAAGTGAGCTGGCTCCAGATAATTGTAAATACAGTTTAACAGTCTGGCAACAGTGACTGTTACTCTTATGGCTTCTTTTAAGAAATGCTGCATTACTAATGCTTTTCATAGGAAAGAAGAACTTATAAGAGTAGGAAAATACACACATTGATCAACCTGAGTCAAAAAGTAATGCAGCAAAGTCAGACTCTGAAAGTGAAAAACTTTTAGGAATACCTTACCCAATTTGTTTCTATTTTCCTTTTGATGCATGTATAACAGTGATTTGTGATTTTAAAAAATTCTATTTCTAGGGGCTGGCCCCGTGGCCGAGTGGTTGAGTTCACGCGCTCTGCTGCAGGCGGCCCAGCGTTTCGTTGGTTCGAATCCTGGGTGCGGACGTGGCACTGCTCATCAAACCACGCTGAGGCGGCATCCCACGTGCCACAACTAGAAGGACCCACAATAAAGAATATACAACTATGTACCGGGGGGCTTTGGGGAGAAAAAGGAAAATAAAATAAAATCTAAAAAAAAAAAAAAAAATTCTATTTCTAATTAAGCCTAAAAGACATTGTGTGGCTACTCAGTTATATTTTTCCTTTCTTAGTGTTTTCTTTAATGGTGCATCCCACAATCCTACAACGAGGAGACAGAACTTCAGAGATAAAGTATCTTGCCCAAGGCTACTGTGGGAGATCAGAATTGGCCATCCCAAAATGTGTCTCTTCGGCATGAGGATTATTTTGGGCTGGGTACTTTTAAGAAACTGTGGGGCAGGGTGGGGGGGTGGGAGGCTCTGAAAAGTATAAGTTACTCTTTGTAAGAGACATTTACATTTACAAGGGAAATCTCCATCTGGAAAGGTATCTCCCAGACTCTGCACCAGGAAGAAGGGGGTATGACCTTATCCCTAGAGCTCTTATCAATGCGGAAGGCAGGACTTAAATCCGATTAATAACCTTACTCTTGTTTACTGTGCTTTTCTGGTAATCTCCCACAACTGACTCCCCACACCCCCAACATCCTCCTTTGTCTTTAGCTGAAGATAGTATTTAAGGTAACAGCTTCTGCCACTTTGGCGAGTTACTCAGTTTTCCTGAGTCTCTCCCGTGTATACATGTTACAAAGCTTTGTTTGATTTTCTCCTGTTATCCTGTCTCATGTCAGTTTAATTCATAGCCCAGCCAGAAGGACTCAGAGGGTAGAGGATTTGTCTTCCTCCCCTACACTACACAGCTGGTAAGTAGCAAAAGTGACATTTGAACCCAAGTCTATTAACTCTTGAGCCAGAGTTCTTAACCTCTATACTCTGCCACCTCTAGGTCCAAAGCTAATTAGCTTGGCTATTGAACATGCTGCATTAGGGGCATATTTACTGTTAAGAGATGTGAGAATGGTCATCTCCCACATTACTGTAATGAGAGTGGCTCCTTTGAACTGAAAAGAACTAAAGTGTATTGTACCAATTCTTCAGTCTCAGATGTTAGCTGAATCAGGGATGTATGATTATATGAGGCCTCTTATTAGGAATAGGATGTCAGCATTGAAGCCAATTATCATTGCAGGTATAATGACTGGGGAACAAACTAAACCAAATATGGACTAACCGTAGTATGTGTCACCTGTTCTACATGGAAATTTGGTGAAGAACTAGGATAATCTGGTTTAGAATAAGAGCTCTACTTAGCCAAAGTCCGTGTTTAATAGGGGAGTGTCGTCAGGAGTGCATTTTCCTTAGTTAACTGCAAACTAGCTAGCAAGGAATTCAGAAAGTGGATGGGTTAACATTACAAATAGGGGCATTTACTCTGGGGTGGACTGTACTGCTGGGCTGCTGCCTGATGTAAGGTTAGTAATGCTATCCTGGTCCAATTGGAGACAGTCAACAGTAGATAAAGAGTCAAGAGGTTCTCTGGGTTTAACTGAGAAATGAAAGTATGATGATGTGTTCTCTTGACTGGGGTAGGAAAGACAAGCTCTCTCAATGCTAATTAGTGGAAGTGCAAATTGGTAAACCTCTTTGAGGGATAATTTGACAACATCTGTTAAAATTAAGAAGACATATTCTTTGACTCAGCAATTCTATTTCCAGGAGTTTATCCCACAGATACATTCAAGTTTGTGATAAAGATATAGGTGTAAGGATATTCACTGCAGCATCATTTAAAATGTCAAAAGTTTAAAAACAATCTAATAGTTCGTCAATAGGAACTGGCAGATGTCATCTCACCAGGAAGTGGTTTCTGAACCCCCATGTTGGGCTTAGTGCCCCTCCCCTGTGCTTCTAAGCACCTTATCATCCCCTGTCTTAAAACCTCTAATAATGAACGAGTCTGTTTATTTGTCTGTCTCTTCCTGTAGGGTTACTTTTATTCATTTCCCTCATTTTGCAGAAGAGGAAGTTTGGGCTCAGAACAATTGTGCAGTTCCCCATAGAGAATGAGGCAAAAGTACATTCAAAGGCATAGAGACATGAACGAGGCTGGTGTGTTGGGGAAAGAGCAAGTGGTCGGTGTGGCTGCAGTACAGCATGAATGGTCTCCATATGTCATGATAGGGAGTTCGGACTTTAACTTAGAGGATTTGATTCACTCTCTTAGGAAAAAAGTCATAAGTGTGGAGCTCAAAGAGTTCCCCTCTTTCCATAGAGTAAAGCTAATATAAAAAAACAGACTCAGTGAGGACAGAATGAAAGAGGAAGGCTGGGGCCAGCCCCGTGGCCAAGTGGTTAAGTTCACGTGCTCCGCTGGTGCGGCCCAGGGTTTCGCTGGTTCGGATCCTGGGCGTGGGCGTGGCACCACTCATCAGGCCATGTTGAGCTGGCGTCCCACGTGCCACAACTAGAAGGACCCACAACTAAAATATACAACTATGTACTGTGGGGATTTGGGGAGAAAAAGTAGAAAAAAAAATAGATTGGCAACAGTTGCTAGCTCAGGTGCCAGTCTTTAAAAAAAAAAGAGAAAGGCTGAGATCCAAATGGAACTTGCCAGGATCCCTTCTACTGGAGGACATTTGGGTTCCTTGTTTGGTATCTCGTATGGATATCAGTAAGTTTAGGGTCTGCAGCCTGAGTCTGAGCCACAGAACTGATCAGAGAACCAGGGAGAAGCAGCTTCCTCCCCTGGCTTCTCCAGCATGTTTCTATCCTTGCTGCTTTCCTTGTTGCTATCCTTGCTGCTTGGGAATGAACTCTGAGATTCTCCCTTGGGCCAGCTAGCCTTCTGATTCTCTAAATGCATGTTGGGACCTCAAACAGAAGCTGAATGAGGCAAAGCTGATGTTTCTTTAGTGCAGGTTTTTCTGGGAGATCATTAACAGATATTGCAGAGGATGATCTATGAGAGCTGGGGGGCTTAGAGACAGCGGAGTCTAGAGAGCACAAAAGTCAATTCTTCTCCCTCCACCCACAAAAAAATTGAGTCACGAATGATTTTTGTTCTCACTCGTAAGTCCTTGTTCTTCCCCAGCCCCCACATCCCTAGTTCTAAATGTAGGCAGGTGGCAGGAAAGGAAGAAGGATATTGTGGCTGTTAACAAGGTATAAATGAAGGAGACCCTGCCATACCAGCTCTCTTGTGAGTGGCGATTTCATTGTTTTGCTCTCTTAAAAAATGATCAACTGATTTTTTTTTCATGACTTGGGATCCTTTGATTACTAAGTCTCTTGGTAGTAATGCTAGTCACTTCCTGTCTGGATCAGGGATGGCAGAAAATCAAGGGAACAAAATCAGAAGGGAAACAGCCTGGCCACTGGAGTAGAGGGGAATTAGCAGAGAAGTCTTCCTGGGAGGAGAGTTCTCAGAAGTGAGATGAGCTTGCATTAGAAAGCTGGAAATCAGAGTCACAGAGAACCTTGTAAACTAGAACCCTAGTACTGGACTACAGGGGCCTGGACATACCTTCTCAGGGAGCAGCAGGCACCCACTGAGATCAGTTTACTTGGTGCTTCTTTTTTAACTTGAAATCAGCATCTCCTCCAGTAAGACTTATTGATGCCTTCATCCCAGGAACGCTTCCAAATATCTATCCCAAATACTCAACAGGCTAAAGGACTTCCTAACAAAACTTCCATTTCTGATCCCTTTCTACTTCCCCACATTCATCTCCTGACAGCTTCTCCCTAAAATACACCCCCCAACAAACACATAAACACACATAATTCTCCAACCACTCCCAATTATTTGCAGCTCTACAAACACAAACTTTTATGCCTCCGTGCCTTTGCAGCCTCAGCCTACATGCCCTACCCCTCAATCTTTTCCACATTTTTACTTGGTGAATTCTTGCTGTTCTTTCAAGATTCAGTTTCCTCCTCTGAATTCCCGTAGTGTTTCATAAAGCACTTAGCACATTGCATTGCAATTTATGTGTGTACCTGCCTGCCTCTCTCTGTATGTAATTTCAGTGACTTTGTAATAATAACATGGTGAAGATAATACTAAGAAGAAAATTAGGAAGTATGTTGATGTTATTCTGGTTAATCACTCAAAAAGAAACAGGAAATTGTGTTGTGACTGAATATCTATAACGCAGAAGTAAAGGATGGGAGAATAGAGTTATCAGTTCTAAACCTTAACAATGAAGCTTAACTGATAAAGGGTACAGACTCAATGCGAGTGAGACTTCCCGGGAACAAGTCACACCAGCCTGGCAGAGAGCCAATCTAGTAGGCAGATGGGAGACCCATGAAAATGGGACTTGTAGGACGCACCCCCTGAAACTGCGATTGAAATGGTCTCTTGCTTTTTTTTCTTCAAGTGACATTAAAGTTTCCATGTAGGATGGGACATAGATCTGTGCACATGTGTGTCTAAGTGTGTTCGTCTTGGAATGGCTCTTAGGGAAGTAAAAAAACTGCTAAAAATTAGAATTTAGCAATTTTGAGGATTTGTCTTAAACTTTCTTCAGAGATTCCTCAAAGCAATTCTACTCATTTAATTTGTGACTAAAATGAGCATGGCCCATTACCAGAGCCCGTGAGTCTGTCTAGCTACAGTGGGGCAGGACGCACATCTGGACCAGTCTACCAAACTCTGACCCTTATGACTCAGAATGGGAGGCCGAGACAAATACCTTTCCCTCTCTAAAACTAAAAAGAACCCAGGGCTTTGAGGGTATAAAGTCATCAGAAATAGAACTGAAAGTCTTTTTTAAAGTAACATTAAATTCATTATGAATAACTACAACTTGACTCTAAAATGTTCTAGAAAGCTCAGTTACCTGAATGACCTTAAGTACCAAAATATCGCTTGTGCTGAGATATGTACTGGGTGGGCTTACATGAAAAGCTAAGGATGACTAAATTCACTTCCAAACGTGAACCTCTAAGCGGTAAACAACAAGTTTCTACTTCCTTACTGAATTCTGTGAGGGGAAGGAAGAAAGCAGAGGGAAGGCCTTGTGGTTACAAACTGCTCAGATATGCTGTGTAAGACTGAAATCATCAGCCACTAGACTTTTTGCGTCCTTCTTTAAAAACCACAGCGAGACAAAGGGATGTAACAGATGGCTTTGAAAGGTCACCGGTGATGGGAAGCAGGAGAGACCAGGAATGAATGAGGTTGGAGAGGGGACAGTAGCCGCCTCCCCCACCTCAGCTCTCCACAGTAGCGGTCTCCGGTGCTCCCGGGCTCACAGGAACGCGGAGAATGAGGGTCTCCATTGTTTCCCTGTGCTCTGGGAAGGCCTGTGGCTCCTTTAATTCCAGGACCATCCGGCTCAACAGGCCTTTGAGCAGCTGCATTTCTCGGAGCAGAAGGTCCACGTCGGGTTTCAGGGCTCCCGCTGATTGTTCCAAGGGGGTCCGCGGAGCACAGGCCGGCGGCCCAGCAGTGGGGGCTCTGCCCGTGGGGAACTGCAGCCCCGCTGAGGTGGTGTTCGGGACGGAGGTGACCGATGGGACCGATCTGGACACCGGGGGCTTTCTGAAGGAAAGCGGCTTGTTACCAGGCGCCAAGGCTGCGGCCTGTGGGACGGGGGCGGTGGTGGATGCCAATTCCAGAGCAGAACCTGTGAAAGCAACACGCCGAGTACCGCGCAGCTGCAATCGTTCTCCCACGGTCTGGGGGCGGGGGCGAGGAGTTGGGCGGGTGGGTGGATGGGAGAGAGGCACCGGGCCAGGGAGCGGAGCAGGGAGGCAGGAATGCGTGGGGAGAGGCGGGAGGCAGCGGAAGCGGGTGAAGAGGGCAGGGATGCGGAGATGGGAAGGCGGGGCAGGTGACAGGAGAGGGAGTGCGGGTAGGACTCGCCGGTGCCAAGAGGCTGAGGCAGGGCTGCCCACCCGGGTGGACGTCGCGGGAGGGCATGCGGTCACTCACCCCGCCCTGGGAGCTGCAGCCATGGGCTGCGTTTCCGGACGCTGCGGGTGGCGGTAGCCACCTCGCACCAGTGCGATTCCAGCTCCTCGACCTCGGGCTCCGGGACCGTGTACTCGGCGCCCCAGTCGAAGCGGCGCACGGCGCGACTGTACTTGTAGAAGGCGAACTGCAGCGGCGTGTCGCGCTTCTGCGGGTGCAGGCGCGTGTCGCAGCGCACGACCACCCCGCCGCGGGGCTCCCCCCGGCCCATCACCCTCAGCACCGGCGCCTGGAACAGCTCTGCGGAGAGGGGGGCCCAGTGGCTGCGATGCACGTTAGGCTGGAGCAAGGGTCCCGGGGCACCAAGTCCCGCTCGTCCTCGGCCCCGCGACCCCTCTCTCCTTCCGGTTTCCCAGGAGGGCTTCTCGCCGCCCAGGGGACCAAGGAGTGGGAGGAGGCTGTGTGTACGCGGGGAGGGAGGAAGGAAAGCCTTCTGAAATGTGGGGCAGGGGGACCGAGTCCCTGAGGGACGGGTAAAGATTGAAAGAGGCGGGAACAGGCCAGACACTTTATGTCATATCCCAGCTGACACCCAGCTCGCCTTCTCCAGCCTAGAAGGGGGTCGCTGCGCCTGCCTCGCGGGACGCAGAGGAGCCATTCCCTTGCCCCAGTCCCACAGGGAACCCCCTACCACTGCTGCCGCCATTCTGGCTAGGACGTGGACAGACCTGCCCCCTATGTGGGGTGCCCACCCGGAGTAAGGAGCCGGGGTGTGTGTCGGGAGGAAGGGACACCCGCCCCCACGCAGGCTGCAGATCAAGTGTGCCTTCACTGCGGAGGAGAGGAGAGGAGAAAGCGTCAGCGGTCTAGCAAAGAAATCCGACACGTGGCAGCTACTTGAATCTCCGCCCCTCCTTTCCACCCCCGCCTGATCGCTGTCCCAGAATTTCCCAGTGCTCATTTGCTTCCCTCCGGGGCCCCACGTATCCCCCACCTTGCACAGTCACCGCCACCTTGGAGGAGAACATGGGTGCGCTCTCCACTGGGATGCGCATGGTGCCCGAGCACTGGTAGCGCCCGCTGTCGCTGGAGCGCGCCTGCGGCACTGTGTAGTTGGCGCTGGAGTGGAAGTAGCGCACGGCCTGGCCGTCGTGGTAGTAGTGAAGCTTGTAGACGATTTTGTCATACCAGCCACGGCAGCGCAGGACCAGCGGCTCGCCCTCGAACACCGCAGCATAGGGCACTTGCAGGATCAGCCAGTCTACGACAGACACCACAGACAGGCCTGACCCCAAGAGAAAATTCAGCCCTGGGGGGTCTCCCATTCCCCACCTCTATGCTTCCCCTCTCCACCCGCCCCTCCCCCCCCCTCCGCCCCGTACTCTCCTTCCCCTCTCCCACCAACTCACTCCTGCCTTACTGAGGCACCCCAGGAGCCTCAAAGCAGGGCGCATTAGTTGGTGAGTGGGGAAAGAGGGGGATTGGCGTTTCATTAGGTACTGAGAAGGCAAAGGTGCCTGAGACTTGGTTCTGGCCTCAAAGAATAATGCCCACCAATGCAGTTTAAACTCCATTGGGTGGCATCAGGACATTCCTGACCTGGCCCCTGCTCACCACTCCAGCATCATCTCAGTATTCTCCCCTGTCCCATTTCTCCTTTACTGTCCCCACCTTCCACTCCTAATGCAGGCTAAGTGCAGCCATACTGAACTGCTGGAAGAACTGGCCCTGCTCTGAGCCCAGAGCCTTTGCACCTGCCAATAAGACTCCCCTTCACCTGTTTTAGTTGAAGTCTACTTGTCCTGCGGGTCTAGGCTTAGACCTTATCTCCTCCAGGAAACTTCCCTAACCCCCAGGACACTTCCCTAACCCCGGGGACAGCCTTAGGTACTTGCCACAGCACTCAGTATTTACCCCAGCACCATCACCATCAGAGCTAACACATAAGCCCTAACATGTGCTAGATGCCATTTTAGGTGTTTTACATTGAAAAAGAGTTCTGCAAGTAAAAGCCACAATTATATGCTACTCTCACTTCTGCAAGCAGTAACCACCGTCTATTATGACCAGTATCTTCTGTATATTCACTATCAATTTCCAAACCAGAAACCAGAATGTGGAGAGGAAGTGCGCGTAAGTGCTAATCTGAACCCTGAGTGATGATCTTTAAACTCTGAATACAAACAGTGGCCTACCAGGCTAAGATATTATATTCCTTATGAAGTAGCCAATCCTGGGCCCTAATGAACAATTGTTATTTCTCTTATTCTGTTTTGAAACCCTTTAAGTATCCCCAGGGAGTCAGTTTCTTAATGGACCCCTGTGTACACACGTGTGTACATGTCTGTAATAAAATTTTGATTAAGTGCTCTGTTCAACTGGTGCTTTTTTCCTTAACAGCATGATATAGTTCATTTTTAATCTTCACAACAATCAAAGAGATAGGTATTATTGTCTGCCCTATTTTACTGATGGGAGGTACAGAGAGGCACCATTCAATCAAGAGTAATTCCCATGGCCATACCCAGCCTGCCCAAGGATCCTCACTTTTCCTGCTTTTCTCTGTCCTTTCCCCTCTGCCCTCTGGCGAACTTTTCTGTCCAGTATTGCAGGTTCTCAGAGGCTCAGCTCTTCTGACTAGTCTCATAAACAGAAATATTTATTTGCTGCCCATGGTGGCAGGAGGGTGAGGGAACTTTGGGGCCAGGCAAGCCTTACTACATCTCTCACATAGTGCCATGCAGGCCCCTGCCTGCTCCAGAGACTCTAGATAGGCCCCCGTTCCTGCCCTGGTGGGAGTGGCTCAGTGTCCTCTCCCACAGGAGGGCCAGTATTGCCAGACGAGACAGGCGCTGCCCCTCCCTTCCTCAGACTACTCACCATTGGACACAGAGAGGTGGATGGGGTCACTGACGGGTGCTCCCCTTGTCTGGCACCGATACACCCCTGGCGTCTGCACCTCAATGCTCTTCTTGTGAGACGGTAGGAGTAGGTGGCCCAAATACCAGAGAGTGCTGATGGGCCGGAGCTCCAAAAGCAGAGGGTGGTACCCATCACACCGCAACGTTACCCGCTCCCCCTTGAAGATTGTGGTCCAGGGTGGGTGTAGAGACAAAATGGGCTTCTCCAGAGTAGCTGGGGGTATGTGAGAGGGGGCAGTGTGGAAAAGAGAATCAAGGTGAGGTACCCAACGATGTAGTCTAAGGTTAGGAAATCTCAGAAAGCTCCAGCTTTGAGGACCCAGCCCATGTTACTAACCCATCCCTGAGGCAGGGGAGGCCACATTGGGCTACACATCATCAGTCCTTCAGTTAGCACCCATCTCTAAGTGTCTATGGACAAACTGAGTCACAAGATTGAGGAGGAGTGGGAAAAGGCACTATCTCAGAACAGCCAAGAAGTGGGGAGTGAGTACACAAGCAGGTCACTTAGTGGGGCTGGAGTGGAAGTCGTAGAAATTGGGATAAGGGATGTGGAAGACTCACCAGCTTGCCCATTGCTTGGAACTGCAAAACAAGAATCAAAGAAGGAAGAAGCAGGAGAATGTTGGAGATGAGAGGGAAGAAAGGGGCTCTCTTGACCACAGGAAAGACTCAACACATCTCAAGACCTGGTTTTTTTCTGCCTTTAGTTTCCCCTGCTCTAAGAAACCCCCTCCTCCTCACCCCTCCAAAAATAGATAGTGAACTGTTTGGAATTGAGGATTAGATACCCCCCCAACACACACACACACACACCCATGACTCACACTCTTCCCCACACCCAAAGTCCTTATGCTGCTATTGCCTCGTTGAGGACTCACCCAGGAGCAGGAGGGCTGTCAGTGCCCACATGATAGACTCCCCTACAGCAGCTGCAGAACGTTGGAGATGTGCCGGCATGGGATGGAGGAGGAGAGAGAGAAGGTAGCCAATGCTGACCATTGAGTACTGAGAGACATTGCTGCTTCTCCTACCCATTCCTAATTCCTAAAGATCATGGACTGGAGAGAGCAGGAGACAGGCTGGATATGTGTCAACACTTAGGTGTCCCAAGTACCAGGCATTGTCCCACTTACCACCCCTACACCCACCTCACATCTCAGGCCAGCCTCAACTCCTGTAGAGAAGGCCTGCTGAGCAGAGTCTGTGCCCTCTGCAGCCCAAGAGAACCAAACAGAACCCCAGGCTGTGGCTGGTGACTCTGCCACCACAGGCTCCCATCGACATCCCACTCCCATTTCACCTCCTCCCCACCTTCCAGTCAGCCCTGTAAGCCTCAGTTGAGGAAGACACATTTTCATGTCCTCCTGGTCCACCCAAGGCCTTTATTCTGCTCATTCCTTGATAACAGACATTTCCTGTAAGACCTAGTGAGGTTGATCTTGGGTTTCCTGCACCCAGAGCTCACATCCTTCCACTGATGATTAGGCAAAAAAGCATGACTCATCAACCACCCTCTCTGTCACTGTCTCCCAGTGTCCCAGTCAAGGATAGAAACGCAATATGTTTCCCCTTCTTTCTCCCTTTCTGAAACCTTAAACCCTCAAAAATTAGAAAACTCTTCTTTCCTATCCATCCCAATGATCTCACCCTGTGGCATCTCCACTTACTTATGCCTTCCTTCCTTCTTCATCCCTGCAGCCCCTCCCCAACCACGCCTCAGTTCTAGGACTCCTTACCTGGGGCAGAGAAGTCACTGCATCAGCCCCTCAGAATCTTCTGAGATCCGACCTTCTGGCCCTACTTCTTGTGCTTTCTGAGTCACGTGATCATACCCTGAGCAAGGGGGAACCTGAATTCTCTTGTAAATACTTCATGAATTTTCCAACCTGATAGTATGTCTCCTTGGACAGTCTCCTGCCCTCACCTGTGGCTGTTCAGTACTGGGGCACCTCCTTCCCTTGGAATTCTGGCAGGAAGGGGATCGATTATGACACTGCCGACTCTCTTTAAGACAGTCTCTTCCCCTCTTGCCTGCTGATGCCCAAAGCTTCACTCTGAGAATTCTCTCATAGTTTCTCTTAATGTGCTAGTCCTTGTTAAAAATGCAAATGCCTCTTAGGGAAATATGATTGGTCATTTAAACGATGCTGGCCACTTCAGATCCTATTTGGGAGCAGGTTTTGATAAAAGAGAGATAGTCATATGGGTCTAAAAGTAGGGGGGGGGGGTGTTTGATAAGGTGCTCAGGAGCAGGGGAGGGAGAGAGCTGGACACTGAGGACAGAGACCATAAACTGGCTGCATCATCTACAGTTGCCCCAGAGGTCTGGCTTCTGCACCAGGCCTCCACCTCTATGACAGAAACGTAACCCACCCATCAGCTGTCTATCACCTTTGTCTACATAAGCTGATGCTGTTTTGGCTTCTTCTCACTCATAACTCAGATCTCAGCCTCTTCACCAGATTCCACAAGAAACCTGATTACACCCAAAATACATGAGGTATACAGTCTTCCCTGAAAATCTCTAGAATCACTGGGAGGGTTCACATCATACAGTGCTCAGAATTTGGCTTGCAGAATCTTCCACCCAACATTTCTTTATTCCAGGCTTTCTTCTGCATTTTCCCCAAGTTGGATCTTTTTCTCCATCGAGGACTTTTCCCTGCAGAAATTCTAATTCTTCACCCCTTTACTATGCAGAGAAATTTAGCAATTATCATTTGTTACCTGAGCAATTCTTCACAGCCTCTCATGACATAGTTTCTGGACAAGATACGCCATCATCTGATAATTCTGATGAATAAAATGTCTCAGTGATGAGGATGATGATAATCAGATAGTGCAGCTGTTGCTGACGATAATGACACCAGCTCACTCTCAGCGAGGGCTGTAGTGTGAGTGTTGTGGCACATGGCAGGCACTGTGCCAAGTGCTTCACAAAAATTACTTCACCTAATTCTCACAAGGGCCCTTTGAAGAAGGAATAATCCTTCTTATCATCTCCATTTGATATATGAGGAAACCGAGGTGATAGAACTGGAATTTGAATTGAAGTCTATCTATTCCAAGATCTGCTGTCTCTCGTGCTTGTGGCAGATTGTCAGCACTAGTCTTTTCAAGTCTCCTCTCTTGTTCTGTTATTTTTTTATCTTCAGCGATACTACCGTTTTCCTCTCCTCCACATAAGTACCCACTGTACGATGTTTACTGTATGTTCCTGTATGCAAGCATAGATTTATCTTTGAGAAATATTTAGTGTTATTAATTTACATAAATGATGTTGTGTTCTAGATATTATTTTCTCTTTTAGAACAAAGTTTTGGGTTAAGAGGAATTCACTCCTTTTTTTTCCTGCCTCGATGACTGAGCTGGGACATCTCATCTTGTCTTCTTCAGCCATCAGAGTGGGATTTACAACATCGGCTCCCCTGGTTCTCAGGCCTTTGGACTCGGACTGAATTGTGCTTTCCTGGGTCTCCATCTTGCAGATGGCAAATTGCGGGACTTCTCAGCCTCCCGTAATCTTGTGAACCAGTTCCTCTTGCTCTCTCTCCCTCTTGCCCTCCCCGTCTCTGACAACCACCATTCTACTTTCTGCTTCTATGAGTTTGACTATTTTAGATTTCACATGTAAATGAGATTACACAATATTTGACTTTTTCTGTCTGGTTTATTTCCTTTCCATAATGTCTTCCAAGTTCATCCATATTGTTGCAAATGGCAGGATTTTTTTAAAAAGCTGAATAATATTCCATTGTGAGTATATGTGTGCATATTATATATAATTATATATATAATATATTATACATACATATCTCACATTTTCTTTATGAATTCATCTATCAACAGACATTCAGGTTGTTTCCATATCTTGGCTATTGTAAATAATGCTGCAATGAACATGGGAGTGCAGGCGTCTCTTTGAGATACTGTTTACATTTCCTTTAGATATATACCCAAAAGTGAGATTCCTGTTCACAAGGTAATTCTATTTTTAATTTTTTGAGGAAGTGCTATACTGTTTTCCATAGTGGCCGTGCCAATGTACATTCCTACTAACAGTGCACAAGGGTTCCCTTTTCTCCACAGCCTGACCAACGCTTATCTTTTGTCTTTTTGATAATAGCCATTCTAACAGGTGTGAGATGCTATCTCATTGTGGTTTTGATTTGCGTTTTCCTGATGATTAGTGATGCTAAGCACCTTTTCATATACCTCTTGGTCATTCATATGTATTCCTTTGAGAAATGTCTATTCAGGTCCTTTGTCCATTTTTAAACTGAGTTATTTGTTTGTTTGCTATAAGTTGTATGAGTTCCTTATATATTTTGGATAGCAACCCCTTATCAGATACGTGGTTTGCAAGTATTTTCTCCCCTTCCATAGGCTGCCTTTTCATTCTGTCGACTGTTTCCTTTGCTGTTCAGAAGATGTTGCCTTTTCTCACAGAGGTATTAAGGAATAAAGGGATGTGTAGTATAATCAACTTAGACTTTTAAAAAGTGTCCAATCAAAAATATTAGAATGATCTAGTCCAGTAATTCTCAAAGTTTGGTCTGTAGATACTTGCGGGTTCTCATGACGCTTTCAGGGTGTCCACAAAGTCAGAACTATTTTTGTAATAATGTTAAGAGATTATTTGCCTTTCTTACTAGGTTGACATTTGCAGTGATAGTGCAAAGCAGTGTGTGTGTGTTGGGGTGGGGGGGAACTGCTGGTTCCTCAGCACAATTTAAGGCAGTGGCACCAAACTGTATTTTTCATCATCACGCACTCGCGATAAAAAAAGATAAAAAATGAACTTACAGTAAAAAAAAAAAACAACAAAAGGTAAATCTTAATGAAATAGTAAAAAAGAAAAAAAGTTAATTTTATTAAATTTTGAGACCAAGTATAAGTCGTTTTAATATTCCGTGTGATGGGAAGGGGGAAGCATGCACTTTTGTTCCATTCTGAAATATAACGGCTGTCTTTGGGGAAAGCTCTTGTGTGATTATTTGAGTTCTGAGCTGAACCGGCTACTTTTTTCACAGAGCACCATTTTTAATTGAAAGAATGACTGGAAAACTATGGTCGTTCAGACTTGGATATTCCGCAGACATTTCTCAAAAGTAAACCAAGTGATTTTGCCCCTTTGAGAAAAACAACTGACAGTAATTATTGCCAATGATAACATTCTAGCTTTCAAATGAAAATTAGAATTGTGGAAAGCTTATATTCATCATCATGAGCTTGACAGCTCTCCAATAATTAAAGACTTCTCTGATGGTGATATTAAATGTGATTTTTAAAATATCGTCTATAATGAAATGGTATCAACATTTGAAAGATCTGCATAACTTTGTGAACTAATATTTTCAAATGACCAATGCATGGGTAAAAGATTCATTTAAAGTACAAGGACCAATGGATTTTAATGTAACAGAGTAAGAAACATTTATTGATATGGTTTCAGATTCCATATTGCAACTGATCTTTAAGAAACTACCCCTTACCAAGTTTTTGTGACACATCAAAGAAGAATATCCACAATTATATAAAAAGTCTCTTAAACTGCTCCTAGCTTTTCCAATTATAAATCTGCAGGAGGCCAGATTTTCCTCATAAACTCAATTGAACTTGCCTATGAGAGCAGAGATTATTTTATATTTATCTTCTTTTTCTTCTTCTAGAACCTTGCACGTAAATGTTAAATTAAATGAAGTTGCTTCGGTACTGAAGAAAATTAGCTATCTTTTCTGGCCTGATTAAGGCTGGGGAAAATGTGTGAAACACGTCCAGTCGTGACTTTAAGTTCAAGAAAGGCTCACCAAATCCAGTAATACTCAGAGTATTCTGGAACAGTCTTTAATAAGTTGGTATGGTTACTTGAGGATCAATAAAGGGAAGAACTATTCCACATTGTAGGTAATAAACTTGGCCCCTTATTACCTTTAAGAAAAGATACAGGCAGAAAGCATAAAGGAATTTGAAGATGATTTAGAGAAATATATATATTTAAAGGAGGTCTAAATTCCTACTCGGAGAAGATTTTAAAAATTACTAATAATTTGTATCTACTTATGTGCTCCTCCCCCATGGTCTCCCTGATCAGCCCTTCAGAGGTAACTACTGTCCTGACTTTGATATTTCCATTTTCATGCCTTTTTAAAAAGGTTTATCATATGTTTGTGTGAATGCCTAAACAGTATATTCCTTTGTTTTACTTGTTTTTAAACTTTGTATAAAGGGTGTCACACTATATGTTATCTTCTGGGACTTACTTTTTTCACTCACTGATGCGTTTCTGATATTCTTTTATGTTGCTGAATTTTAACTACAGTTCATTTCATTCGTTTTTACTGTTGCTTAGTATATCATTCTGTGACAAATAGCATAATTTATCCATTTTTCTGTTGGTGGACAACTGAATTGACTCCAAGTTTTGCTTTTACAAATAGTGTTATTACGAATATTATTATACCTGTCTTCTGATACACAGATACTAAAACTTCTCTTGGGTATATACACCCAGGCATAGAATTCTGGATAAAAAGGTATGCATATATTCGACTTTACAAGATAATGGATGTACTTACTATCTAACGTTTATTTCAGAGAAAATATTCAGCATAGCTGCATTGGGACCTCTGCGAGTTACAGAATCCTAAACTACACAGGTCGCAAACCAAATCCAGCATAACAATTCCTCCTTCCCACCTCCTCGCCGACCTCCCCAGGCTAGACAGACTGATGGAGACAAGTAAAAGCTCCTCCTCCCCTGTCTTTCTCTCTCTCTCATTCTTTCAGCTCTGTTCTTGCCTTCCTCATCCCTAATGGTAGGAGATCCTCCTCCTGAAGCTTCCAAGTCCTTGACCTAGGCTGGGTCTCCTGGGCAGAGTCTGGAGATTTTGCTGATGCCAGACATGCCACTCATCCTTTAAGGTCCAGCTTAATTCCCATCTTCTTCTAGATGCCTTCCCCTATTATGCTGACCCAACTCAATTTAACTAAACAAAATTTACTGAGATCTTAAATATGTCTCATTAAACTAGACACCAATGAGCCAATGTGGAACAAAGAGTTCACTCTTTAGTGAACAGAAATAACATACTATTAGCTGAAATCAACTCCATGTAGAATGGTTATAACATAGTATCTTTGGAGGTACATCCAGCCTGGTCCATTGGCAACTGAGCTTCCATTTTTTCAAATCCACCAAAGTCATGACATATCTCTGGCCATCATTTCTTTCAACTCACGTTCATACAGTTGTCAATCAGTCCTCTCAGGCTGCAGTGATATTTATGGACTTTTACCAATTCCCAATTGCCTCCTGATCCTTCACCTGGAAGGTGTTAGGAATCACAACAAAACTTGATTTTAGAGGATGCCAAGAACCACCATAAAACTCGAATTTAAACATCCAGCATGATTTTATTCCTTTGTTTCTTTGTGGCATGTCTAGAATGATCACGTATACATCTTTTGTAAATCTTTGTGGGTCACAGCTATGCACAGAATAAACAGCACAAAGAAAGAGTACAGTGGATAACGTCATGCCACATGATTTAGGATAACATGGTAGAATGCTCATTGGCTGAGCTCATTATAAAATGGTGTACTAACTCATTGATCAAAGGTTACTGTACAGTCTGTCAGGCTACCTTTCGTTGGTTGAGAATGTACAATAGCAGTCCAAATATAGAAAAAAAGTATTATTTTGGTACCAAAATAGATTTATATATGTTTTTTAAGAAAAATATTTCAGAGACAAATGAATTAAAGCAAATAATTGCTACTCTGACAATATTATGCTCCATCACATGTTTCTGAGGGTAGTAGGACCTGTGGGAAATTGCTTTAATTGTTAATTGTTTTATGGGTAGGAGTATTACTGTTCCTACATCCCAAAGTCTAAACCCTCTATAAACAGAAACACTGTCTTATGAGTACAATTAATATAGAATAAACTTGGGCGTGTATCAGAGGTCAGCAAAATATCAGCAAGTATATTTGCTGAATAAAGCTGAGAGGGGAGAGTAAGCAGAAGAGGCAAAGGCCCACCCCAAAGTCCAACACCAAGCTCCCATAAGGCTGGGGGTTCTCAACCTCAGGACCATCAATATTTTGGACCAGATAATCTTTTGTTGTTGGGGGCTGTTCTGGGTATTATAGGATGTTTAGCTGTATCCCTGGCTTCTACTCACTAGATGCCGGTAGCACTCTGCCCCCAAGTGTGATAACCAAAAATGTCTCCAGACATTGCCAAATGTCCCCTGGCTGGGGGGTGGGGGGAACTGCCCCCAGTTGAGACTGCTGCATTAAATCCATCTCACTGCTTCTGTTTCAATCACCAGATTCTAGTCTGGGCAAAGGAAGGCAATTCCTGGTCTAGAGAAGGCAGGATTATGTTGTCATGTTAAGAGAGAATACATAGGAGCTGGCCCCGTGGCTGAGTGGTTAAGTTCGTGCGCTCCGCTGTAGGTGGCCCGGTGTTTCGTTAGTTCGAATCCTGGGCACGGACATGGCACTGCTCATCAAGCCGCGCTGAGGCAGCATCTCACATGCCGCAACTAGAAGGACCCACAATGAAGAATATACAACTATGTACTGGGGGGCTTTGGGGAGAAAAAGGGAAAAATAAAATCTTAAAAAAAAGAGAGAGAATACATAATTATGGCTAAACTCCAGTTATCACTTTGTACAAATTTATTTATACTCACCTATTTCTGTAACTCTAACAAAACACTGGGCAACTTGTAAAACGATTTATGCACATGTATAGGACAGAAAGAGGAAAAATAGAAAGAGTTGGATTTATTGGGGGTTGTTGGGTAATACTGCAGGCGAATTGTTTACTCATATTTGGCAGGACCCTTTGTGGTCTCAAGCTTCAGGTGGAAAGACAAGTTCCTCAACTCCATGACCAGGTGACCGAGGAGAGCTCTCATATCTTGCAGTTGTTTGAGAAGAGCGCCCATTTGGTGATACAGATGGGGATCTGGTACCTGCAGAGGAGGGGAGAAGCCTGGATCCTCAGAAGAAGGGGTGGACAGTGGAGGCACAGGCTTAGGGGGCTCTTTAGGAGTAGTTTCTGGAGCAGCTGATTTCTGAGAAGCTGAATTCAAGGTGGGGGATGCAGCAGAGCTGGAGGGACCTGGATCACGGGATAGGAGGCACATACAAGAGTGAAGTCTGACTCTGGCCCTACCTTCTTATTCCTGGTCAATCTTTCTTGTTCTCTGAAAGTGGCTGTGTGGCCCAATGGCAGCAGAGACTTGAGAATTCTAGTGTCCCTCCTGGTCCAAATTTAAATCTCAAGCTTGGCTACCTTAGCTTGAAAATCTTCAATGATGAGACTTCATCATTAGAGCGCTGTGGATATTAGCTAGCTTCTCTTCTATCAAGGCAGAATCTAATTCCCAGCACATGGATGTGGTAGCTGGTCCTAGGTCCCCCTCTTTATGGTATATGACATTAGTGTAATTCCTCATCCTTGTGCCAGCCTTCAGCATTTTGAAGACACTCTCTGCTGGCCCCTTAAGTCACCTCTTCTTCAGGATGAGCATCTCCCATCCCTTCCATGATTTTTCTTATGACATGGTTTCGAGCCCCTTCGTTACCCTGGACACCTCCTCTGGGTATATTTTAAGTCAAATGCAGCCTTCTTAACGAGGGCTCCCAGAATTGAACATAAACTCTGGACTACTTCAACCTCATTCTAGACACTATATTCCTACAAATGCCCAGAGTTCATGTAGGGACTGTAAGGTCTGTGGGGCAGCAGCTGGAGAGCTGGCTCCGGTCTTGTTTTGGTGAAATATGCACCGTGGTCTGAAGGAGGCGTTCCCTATCTGTGCTCTCTTCCATAACCAGAGACCGTGATTTACGGTTCCTGCCTCTTCTGTGTTCTTTCTTAAGCTGCTCCCACCCAACCCCAGCTCATAGGCACATTCGTCCTATCCCCTACTTTTCACACACACCAAACAGATGCATACATGCTTACTCACCCTGCACCCTGATCTCCAGCTTGGAGCTCTGTTTCCAAACTTGCTTGTCCTCGGTGGCCGCTTCACACCAGTAGGACCCAGAGTGTGCCTCTGAAGCTTTGAGGATCTGGAATTCTGAGGAGAGGCCCGTGCTGCGCACTGTCTTGCCATCCTTGTAGAAGGAGAAGAGGAGGCGAGTGGCTGACCTCTGCAGGGGCAGCTTTGTCTGACAGCTCAGGGTCACTGGGCCTCCCTCTTTGGGCTTAGCTGAGGGAGTGGCTCTGAGAACTGGTGCTGGAAACAGTTCTGGAGAGACAGGTGGGAAAGAAGAGCTCAGCCATCTGGCATTCAGGGCACCCATGACAGGCAATGAACTCTAGTCACACTTTCCTTCCCGTTTCCTTCCCCTATTTCCACCAGGAATGAGCTCTCTTAGAAAAGTTCCATTTGAATCTTTCAAGTCCTCTCTCTTCTCAAGTAGACAGGACTAGAAAAGATCCAGAGATGGGTAAATCTGACAATAGCCCAGATGTCTAATCAGCGAACATTGGGAAGCATAGATCTGTAGGATAGAGTGGTAGAAAACATGCTGAACTTGGAGGAGGGCTGAATGACTTGAAAAGCAATGATGAGGGGCCGGCCCAGTGGCATAGTGGTTAAGTTCACATGTTCCACTTTGGTGGCCTGGAGTTCGTGGGTTCAGATCCCAGATGCGGGCCTACACACTGCTCATCAAGCCATGCTGTGGTGGCATCCCACATACAAAATAGAGGAAGATTGGCACAGACATTAGCTCAGGGCTAGTCTTCCTCACCAAAAAAAAAAAACAAAAAAAAAGAAGAAGAAAGAAAGAAAGAAGGAAAAACAATGCTGAGATGCTTCCTCTCCTAAAGCCCAACTTGGGCATTTGCCAGCAAAATGCCTCTTAGGCCTTCAGTGATCTTGCCATCTCCAGTGAAAGACATTCTTGGTCCCTCTGTCTCTCCCCACCTGCATCTGCCACAACAACGCTCCCTCTAGCTCTCACCTTGAACTGTGATAGTCACAGAAGATGCCGTTTCTGTGCTCCCAGGACCAGGACTCCTGAAGATGCCACTGCAGTGATAGTGCCCACTGTCTGCCTCTTTCGCCACGGCGATGGAGAATTCTCTGTTAGGTCCAGGGGGACCCAGGGCTGAGCCATCTCGGTAGAAGGTGACCTGGGCCAGTGGCCAGTCTTGCCAGGCTTGGCAGCGCAGAACTAATGGATCTCCTTCAAATATGGGCTTGGCTGGACTTTGGAGGATGAGCCAGTCTGTGGCCCAAAGAAAGAGCTGAGTGTGACCCATTGCCTTCCTTGGGAGCTCCCCCAGTACTGCCCTTAGCACACACCCCTAAACTTTCTCTGTGGGTCCAGGTAACTCTCACTCCTTGTTGGGAATGTGGAACAACTTCTCTAGGGCCCGGGACTGAGGGCACCCTAGCTTCTGTGGGCTGAATATGGGGAAGAAGATATCTCATACTATGGCCAGCTTCCTGGGGGCACCTTCCCAAGTGAGCTATGGGGCTGAAAGGAGAGGTTTGGGAAATGGGAGAAAGAGCAGGCCTGCACTGGTCAGTCCTTCCCGGGACCTCACCGTAGGACACAATCAGATGGAAGGGTTGACTGAAAGTGTAGCCCTTGAGCTGGGAGTCAGCTTCCCTCTGGCCTCTCAAGTCTTCGTCAATGTGGCAGATGCCATCCCGGGTGCTGACAGGTCTTTCACATTGTAATGTCTCAAATCTGGCAGCTGAGGAGGGCATGGTCCGAGAAGAACCAGAAAATGATGCTGTGACTTAGAGAAAGAGGACAGGAGATTGCCCTTCACAAGTGTTCCTCCTTCTCCTGGGGGAATCATCCTTTTTAGGGTGAGATTAAGAAGACACCAAAACCTGTTTTCCAAGAGACTCTTATGGGTCTCTCATAGGGATACTTTTGACTTGATTCATTGGCTTCCAGGTTCTTGGACTGTGGTTTGGGGAAGAGGGAAGGGATAGAATGGCAGAATGGTGAACTCACCAGCATGACATCCAGCTGCTGGTGCAGAAAACCAGAGGCCAAAGACAACGATGACCCCAGAGCAGGCAGATACAGGACAGGAGGGAAAGGAAGATGATCAGATTCTAACATTCATTGGGCGTTTACCATGTGCCAGACACTTTCACACATTATCTTATTTAATCTTCACAAAATTTCTAGGTATGTGATTTCACCCCCATTTTATAAATCTTAAAGAAACAGGGTTAGAAAAGTCAATTAACTTACCCAAAGTTTAAAATAGAGTAGAGAATGAAGCAAGAAAGTCAGGTATGTCTGAGTCCAAAATCAGTGTTCTTTTTACTTCACTGTTCACGCATGATCTACTTCGGTCCTCAGACCTTCCTTGGGGGCTTTCTTCCATATTTTCATTTTCCCAAAATTCACTTGGCTCTTCATCCTTGAATATATTATCTACCAAATAGCTTTCAGTACCTAGCTGTGTCTCTCCTCCTTCCTGGATCTCCCTCTCAGGTCTTCATTGTTCAACCATCTCTACCTTGATGTCTTCTGTCCTTTGAACTTTCCTTGGCAACTTTAGAGCCCTTTCTATGTCCTTCTCTCTGTCCCTGACCCTCTATTCCCAGTCTGTACTGGTAACTACGGAACAATTCTTTCTTTACTTCTGACTTGAAGCAGAGTTATGATTTTCTCACCACATCTCCTCAACCTATCTGTTAGCTCCATGATGACCCAGGCAAGGTAAATTACATTTCTCCTATCTCCATGACTGCTTCACATCCCTCTTAATCCTCTCTCCCTCTTCCAGGACCATGGCCATTCACGTGTACTCTTTCCTTCACTCTGTCCTTTCCTGTCCCACTTGCCTTTGTTCCCTTCCAATCTCAATGACCCAATGCCCTTCTTTCACCTGTGTAACTTCTCTTAGTGAGGCCCCTCTCTACTTCCTAATTCTCATTATATCAGAATCAGATGCTTTCTTTAGATCCTGTCTCAACTCCCTTCACCACTCTGCTACCCCTTTTCAGTTCCTCCCCTGTCACTCATCTGGACTCAGCCTCCTCTCCTTTTTTTAAAATAAAATCTTCTTGGGCTATCGGGCACTTTCACTCAATAAACCATGTGGTAAGCATTATTATTCTTGTTTTATGAATAAGAAAACCGAATTCATAGATGTAAAAAGTGACTTTTCCAAAGTTTTATAGAGCTAGTAAATAAAAGAAGAGGGGCTTGAACCAGAGTGCCTGAGTCCATGTCTGGAGTTCTTGTCACAATACCATTACTGTATCCTAATACAGTCACCCAGTCCTGTTTCTATGAGTTCAATAAAACAGTTCAATGAAATTATTGTGTAGGGACACTGCAGGTGCTGAGAATTCAAAGACTAATAAGATAAGGTTAAAAAACAAAAACAAAAAGGCATTGTCCCTGTCTACAAATAACTCTCAGTTTAGTGGATGACAGCATATGAAGAGATTATTTCAGCATGAGGAGGAAAGTAATAAGAAAGAGGTATCACAAGCAGCCGTAGGAGGGGAGAGGAGGTTTCAAGGAAGATTTCCTGATGAAGATGCCACCTAAGGTGAGTATTTAGGGATGCCACAAGTTTGTAAATGAGAGGGGAGTAGGGGGCCATGAGGAGAGCTCCTTTCAGGCAGAGGTAGCAGTATGAGCAAAGCTTTGGAGACAGGTGAGAGCCTGGTGTGTGAATGTATGAATATAAGCACGTTGGGATTTATTAGAACATAAATTACATGGCTCAAAGGGTGAGAGCAGAGGCTGAAGAGGCTAAATAAGGGCCAGATTATAGTGGGCCTTGTGTGCCATGATAAGGAGCTTGGCCTGGCAGACTTGAATTTTACAAATTACTCTGGCCGCAGAGTGCAGAATTCATTTCAAGGACATAAGGCTGAGACAGGGAGATTAGTTAGAAAGTTATTGGTCTAGCCCAAGTCAGAAATGATGAAGGCTTTCCTAGGATACCATTAGCTATGTTTCAAGGAAGGGACTGGCTCAAAAAACAATTCAGAAAGTATATTTTGCCAAACTTGCTGATTGGCAATATGCAGAAGATGGAGAGAGAGAGGTCTAAGTTGTCTCCCAAGTTTTTGGCCTGGATGTCTGGGTGGATGCCATTAACTGAGATCAGAAATAGTGAAAGATGAAATTAGGAGAGGTAGATGCCAAGAAAACAGATGAGTTCAGCACTGGTCATATTGTGCTAAGATACCTGTGAAACATGTAGGTAGATATGTCTTGTGCAAAGCTTGGTATTTGAATGTGAAACTTAAGAGCATAATTAGGGTTTGAGACATGATTTAGGACTCTTAATTATACAGTGGTAGTGTTAAAATTATACAGACAAATAAGCTCACTAAGGCAATTGTATAAAGAAAGAAGAGTAGGGAAACAAGGATGCAATTGTAGAAAACACCAGTCTGTAAGGGGAAGAGAAGAGAAGCCACCAAAAGGACAAAGGCAGGTAGATAGAATACAAGGAGAAAATGGCACATGGAAGCCAGGATAGAGAATGCTAAGAAAGAATAAGTGATTAACAGTGCCCAATCCAGCAGAGAAGTCCAGCAGTTGAGAATTAAAGAATGTGCAATGGCCCAGTCAATATAGAGGTCATTGCACCCTGGGCAAAACTGATTCCAGTGGAAGCCAGGGTGTAAGCATTGAGGAGTGAGTGAAAAGTGAGGAAGTGAAGATAGAAAGTACAGACTTCTCTTTCCAGAAATTTATCTGAGAAAAGGGAGAAAGGAGTTGAGATTGTAGCTAAAGAGACGACATCATAGTCAAGGGGACTTTTAGGATGGAAAGTCTTGAAGATTTTTATATCCAGAAGGAGCCATTCAATCCTGCACACCAAACTTCCTAATATCTATCGTTCATATCCCACCTGAACACTGCTTCTCCAGAGGGCCGAAGTTAGTCTGCATTTCTTTCCTTTGGGTCCTTTCCCCAAAGTCAGGCATATCTCCATTTCCACACAACCAAACATTTTACTTACCCAGTAGTATCTGGGCTGCCCAGAGCATAGTAAGAGAAAAGTAGAAGGCACCAGCCATGAGGACACAGCTCAGCTTCGTGGTGACTGTGTTCAGGTCTCCTGCAGCATCTAACACACTGATTTTCTTCAACACAAAACCTCTCAAATTAGAAAAGAGGAAGTAAATCTAACTGTCTCATCTCTTTGCATCTGGGGCTTATTTTCAACTTTGTGGCTGACTTTTATCATTCAGATTGGCCAGGTTGGTTCCAGCATCTTCTGCATCCTTAGGGTTGTGGATGGAATGATAGTACTCTCAATTGTTCAAGAATTCCCCCACAGAGCTCAGAGACCTTTCAAAGCATGTAATTGTCTGATAGCTCACTGGCCTTCATGAACCCACTGGGAAAGTTCAGTGCAACAATCATCCATTTCACTGGTGAAACAACTGGGGACAAGAGGCAGGAAATTGCTTGAAGGCTACATGGAAAATCACTGGGAGAGCAATGACGAGAATTCAAGTGTCCTGCCTTATCCTGAGGCAAGCCTTACATGTTTCTTGTGACCAGACTGGATCAAGACATAAAGGGGAAGAAGATGGGTAATGGGACCAATCACCAATTAGTCCTTTGTAGGCTCCTACCACCCAAAGCCCACACAAATTTCTCTAGACTCACATCTCAGCTCTCTGTTTCTGCAGCATGACTAAGGCTATTCAGTCTCAGTGGAAATTTGAGTACAAGGCAAAGAGATTCCCCTGGGAAAGAGCAGAGGAAAAAGGAAAATCAATTTCCAGAGGCCCCAGCAGTAAGCCCAGGACTCATGGCCAAAGCTCAAGCCACTGATCCTGAGGAAATTAGATACAAGAGGCATTCGATAGCTTGAGAAACCTGAGGAGACTCATGAATAGGGGCAATATGGAGGCTACAGCATGTCTCTTCACTCCAGTTGGCCTTATGGGACCCATTGTCCCTTCCTCTAAATATCTGCTGTTTGATTGAAGCATCCTCAGTGGCAGGGCCCATGCTTCTTTTCACAGGGACCACACTCCTCCCCCCTCCCCATCATAATACCCACCAGGCCCTCAGTTAATTATCTGAAGATGAAATGAGCCATCAAAAATGGGGGAAGGCAGTTCTGCTTGAAGGCAGAGGCAGGGCCAGCATGACCCTTCAGCTGTGCAAAAACCACAGATCAGAGCAGGCTTATTAGCAACATGAGCATGAGAGAGCGGATATTTCTCAATCTAAAATAAGCATTCAGAATAAATTTTCCATTATCTGAGAGGCATATGTTTTGTGTGCAGGTGGCCCCAAGGAATCCAGGGGGGTTGAATATGGTCGTGGGGGAGGCAGGAAGCCGTGCAGTTGATGTGATATAAAAGACCAAGCAGCCCCAGAAGAGGAAGAAAAGTCTAGGCCAGCCCTAATGAAAATTAAGAAAATGAATTTTTTTTACATGGACCTCTCCCCCTAATGCACCCTTAAAGAGAACATCAGGATTAGACAAGTTTTTAAGAGGCTTCTAAACTAACCACAAAAGCTTTTCCCTTCTCATGCCACCCCTTCTTAACTGCCCTTACAGGCTTGTCATCCCAGGATAGAGACCCTCGTCTATACCATCTGCATCAACTTTCGCAAGACCCCACTCTCAATATGGAAAGCAAGAAGGCCTCTGAAGGTCTGGGGTGAAGCTATCATATTCTTTACCCTTAAATTCCTACTAAGCTTCTGGAAAGTTTTACTCATTTGAAGCCTGATCAATAAACGACAGTTTCACTGGAGAAAAAGCAACATTGGGCCTGCTATGTGCTTATGGAGACTGAGATTCAGTCCATCAAGTTAGTTCCACCATCAAGATCATCCCAGAATTCTCACAGAGATGGGCAGGTCCCTGCGCTCATCCCATCCCAACACCAATTAGGCCTGTGATGTCAACCCCAGCTGCTCCTGGCTTGTCACTAGTGAGCTGATGCTTATTTTTTCTTTATTTTTAATTGAGTAAATATTTATTAAAAAGGCAAATGTATAAAGAATAATGATGCAACGTGCACTTTTGTACCCTCACCCAGTTGAAGAAATAGACTCTTACCATTCTCCTTGAAGTGCCACGTGGGTTCCTTCTTATTACATCCTCTTCCTTCTCTATGATAATCAACTGCAATCCTGCTCTTGTATTTATCACTCCCTTTATTTTATAGTTGTAATAATTTTCTGCTTTTGAACTTTTAATAAATGAAATCATATTGTATTTATTGTTCTGAGAGTTGCTTTCATTTTTTTTTTCCTGTGAATTTCTTTTATTAGCCTTATGCTGGGCTTGGACAGCAGGTTCTTAACTGCTTATCTGCCCCCCTTCAAGTCAAATGTGTGTGCATGTGTGTATGTGTGAGTGTCTGTACGTGTTTCATGTTTAAAGACTATTTTTAAAGAGTAGTTGAGGTGAAGGCACAGAGAGTTGTCATATGCCTCCTGCTCTCACACATGCATAGCCTCCCCCATTATCAACATCCCCCACCAGAGCGGCACATTTGTTACAATTGATGAACCTACATTGACACATCATTATCACCTAAAGTTCATAGTTTACTCTAGGGTTCACTCTTGGTGTTGTACATTCTGTGGATTTGGACAAATGCATAGTGACCTGTATCATACAGAGTATTTTCATTTCCTTAAAAACCCTCTCGGCTCTGTCTATTCACCGCAACCCCTGGCAACGACAGATATTTTTATTGTCTTCATAGTTTTGCCTTTTCCAGAATGTCATATAGTTGGAATCATACAGTGTGTAGCCTTTTCAGACTGGCTGCTTCCACTTAGCAATAGGTATTTAGGGTTTACCCATGTCTTTTCATGGCTTGATAGCTCATTTCTTTTTAGCCCTGAATAATACTCCATTGTATAGATGTACCACTGTTTATTTAGCCATTCACCTACTGAAGGATGTCTTGGTTGCTTCTAAGTTTTGGCAAGTATTGATAAAGCTGCTATAAACATCGTACGCAGGATTTTGTGTGGACGTAGTTTTCAACTCCTTTAGGCAAACACTAAGGAGTGCATTTGCTAGATGGTATGGTAAGAGTATGTTTAGCTTTGTAAGAAACCACCAAACTGTCTTCCAAAGTGGCTGTACCATTTTTCATTCCCACCTGCAATAAATGAGGTTCTTGTCACTCCATATCCTCGTCAGCATTTGGTGTTTTCAGTGTTCCAGATTTTGACCGTTTTAATAGGTGTTTAGTGGTAGATTTGCATTTTTTTCCCCAAACTTAACAGTATGTTCCTGAGATTCAACCAAATCTTCTTTGTAGTTATAGTTGACTAATTTTCACTATGGTGAAGTATTCCATCATGTGATTATGCCATAATTATTCTACTGAAAATGGAGCTGTGAGTTATTTTCAGGTTTTTACTATTAAAAATTGTGCTTCTATACTCTTACATAACTTGTAGGTATAAGAGTTTCTCTAAGATACATATATGAATGAAATTTTCTTATTGACTTTCAGGGGTCTTTTTTACATTCTAAACAAATTCTTTGGCAATTATACGTGTTGCAAATATATTTCAATCTGTGGCTTGTCTTTTCACTTTATATGATTTTTAAGTTCACTTTTTGAGATATAATGACATACATAAAGTGCACATATTTATTTATTTTTTTATTTTTTATTTTTTTGAAGAGGATTAGCCCTGAGCCAACATCTGCTGCCAATTCTCCTCTTTTTGCTGAAGAAGACTGGCCCTGAGCTAACATCTGTGCCCATCTTCCTCTACTTTATATGTGGGATGCCTACCACAGCATGGCGTGCCAAGCAGTGCCATGTCCGCACCTGGGATCCGAACCAGTGAACCCTGGGCCTCTGAAGCTGAATGTGCACACTTAACCGCTGAGCCACTGGGCCAGCCCCAAGTGCACATATTTAAATTGTAAAATTTGATGAATTTTGACAAAAGTATGCACTCATCAAGCCATAACCACAGTCAAGATAATAAATAGATGAATCACTCTTGAAAATTTAATTGTGCCCCTTTGTAATCCTTTCTTCCCCAACCACCTTCCATAGGCAATCACAAATTTGTTTCATGTCACTATCATTTAGATCACATTTTCTAAAACCTTATGTAAATAGAATCATGCAGCATATTCTCTTTTTCATCTGGCTTCTCTTGTTCAGCACAGTTATTTTCAGGTTCATCCGCGTTGTATCCACCAATAGTTCTTTCTGTTCTGTTGCAGAGTAGTAATCCACTGTGTGGCTATAACACACGTTGTTTCTCCATTCACTGTTGGTTGACCTTTGGGTTGGTTCCAGTTATGACTATCACAAATAAAACTACGATGAACATTCTTGTACAAGTTGTTGTGTGGATATATGCTTTCATTTCTTTTTATTTAATTATTTATATTGAGATATGATTGACATATAACATTTTATTAGTTTCAAGTGTGCGTCATAATGATTCACTATTTTTATATATTGCAGAACGATCGCCACAATATCTAATGAACATCCATCACTACACGTAGTTACAAATTTTTTTTCTTGTGATGAGAACTTTTAAGACCTACTCTCTCAGCAACTTTCAAACATACAATACAGTATTATGAACTACAGTCACCATGGGGTACATTACATCCCCAGGACTTATTGGCTTTCATTTTTCTTGAGTGCCTAGGAGTGGACTGGCTGGATCGTATAGTTATAGGTATTTAAGTTTTTTATTTTTATTTTTGAAAATGTAGGGGCCAGCCCGGTGGCATAGTGGTTAAGTTCGCATACTCAACCTTAGCGGTATGGGCTTCACCGGTTCGGATCCTGGACGTGGACCTACACACCACTCATCAAGCTATGCTGTGGCAGCATCCTACACAGAAGAGCTAGAAGGACTTACATCTAGAATATACAGCTATGTACGGGGGCTTTGGGGAGAAAAAAAAAGAGGAAGATTGGCAACAGATGTTAGCTCAGGGCCAATCGTCCTCGCCAAAATAAAAGGGACTTAAAAAAAAATGATAGCCACTCTATATTAAAAAAATAAACAAAGTTTATTTACTTATGTGAGTACGTAGGGGTGTGTGTGTATTTTTATAAGTTTTTATTGTAGCAAAATACACATAACATAAAATTTACCATCTTAAACATTTTTAAGTGTACACTTCA